GCTAAGGAACAACCACCTCCTCTAGCAGAGTAATTAGGGGCCTCATCTTCTTTTTAATTTGTTTTGAGATTCATAACGATTTGTTTGTTTTGTTATGAACAAATGTGTAATTTTTTATTAATCAATTGATGGATTTTATGAATCATTTTTGTTTGTTTGAACATTTGTTTTGTGTTTTATTTGTTTTGTATTAACATAAGAACTAAGATGAAGTAAATTACTTCAAATATGAAATGAAATTCATTAATAAAATTGAAGTCCAAAGAATGAAATGATTAATGAGTTGACCTCAGATATACATTCTAAGGAGTAAAATTGAGCTCAGAGTGAGGAAGTAATAATCATAAAGAAAAATGAGACAAAGATCATTTGAAAGAAGTGGATTAAGGGTAAACTTTCTTCAAATTGTTGACATTCCAGACCCTAGGAATCCTTTTTCCTTCAATGTCTTGGAGGATATAAGCACCTGAGTGTGGCACTTCAACTACAATGTAAGGGCCTTCCTAGTTCAGTGTTAGTTTGCCAAATCGAGTTTCGAACCCCATTAGACCAGCCTTTCTGAGAACAAGGTCTCCCACTTTGAATGTTCGAGGTCAAACTCGTTTGTTGTAAAAGTTGGCTAGTTTCTGCTTGTACACCAAAGTTCAAAGTCATGCTTCCTCTCTGACTTCGTCAAGCAGGTCAAGGTTCTCCCGAAGCAGTTGTCCATTTCGTCCTTCATCAAAATGGGTGACCCTGAAGATTGTGACTCCTATTTCAATAGGAATGACTACTTTGGTGCTAAAGGCCAGGTGGTAGGGTGTTTCACATATTTCATTAAGTTGTAGTTTTTAGGATATGCTTTATATGTTATGCATATTTGATCTAGGGTAAAGCCGTAGAAGAAGAAATAAAGTAGTATAAAAGTAATTCGGATTGGAGATAGTACTTGTGGTAGTTTGGCTTGTGGTTCTATATGCCCAGAGGACGTTATTGAGCTTGTCTGCTCACCTGGCCTTGTGTTGCTCCAACCTTGGCTTTATTCCCTCTAGAATAGCTTTATTGACAGATTCCACCATACCATTAGACTCTAGATGGTATATCGAGGTAAACTGTAATTTGATTCCATAACTGAAGCAGAAATCTCTGAATGAAGAACAGTTAAACTGAGTGCCATTATCAGCCACAATCTGATTCAGGATCCAATATTTGCAGATGATTGAGCTGAAAACAAAGTCTTCAACCTTTTTGGAGGTAAGGCTGGATAATGGCCAAGCTTTAATCAATTTCGTAAAATAATCAATACCAACAATCAGATGGATTACATGTCCAATCCCTTTCATAAATGGGCCTAAAAGATCAAGTCCCCACTGAGCAAATGGCCATGGTGCCACCAAGTTAGTGAGCTCTTCTGCTAGTTGGTGAGTTAAGTGTGCAAAGAATTGGCACTTCGGGCAGCTCTGTACAAAGGAGGTGGCATCCTTGTACATATTTGGCCAGTAATATCCTTGTTTAAGGACTTTATGAGCCAGAGTTCTAACACCAACATGACTTCCACATACGCCTTCATGTACCTCTCGAAGTGCGTATTCAGCTTCATAAGGGTTCAA